CCAGTGAAGCAACGACCTGCACAACTAGACTGAAGAACAAAAAGGCAGCAACTTCTCTGTTCCCCTTCCCCGATTCTCCAACACTGTTCCCTTCTCCCAATTCCCCAATAAAATCTTAAAAAAACAAAAACAGACATTCTTGCTTTTCTAGAACTTCAATAAACTCAATACATTTACTATGCAGCACAAATTTAGACATAGTATTAATTGCTTTTTCATGAGTATGTTGCTCATTATAGCCTAGCTTTTAAATGCTTCAAGTGCTCTAATTTCTGCCATTATTGTAAACTAAATATTTTGATGCTTATCTACATAGGATACTGTATTAGACACTGGAGATGCAAAGATATAAATATATACAATTTATTTTCAGAAGGGATTTGGAGATTATTAAATAGCATACATAGTTTTATAAATAAGGAAATTGAGGCTTCTTGAGGATAAATTCATTAATTCAATTATTCATTCTTTCATTCATTCAACAAATATTTATTGAGATTCTGTTAAGAGCCATAGATTTTTCTAGGCACTAAGGATAAAACAGCAAACACCACTGCCCTCAAAAAGCTTACATTCTATTGACTTCATGTGCATATTATTAGTAAAATAAAATGTATATCAGGAAGGAAGAACACAATTATATTTTCAAGTATAGATCATTTTAATTGGCATTGAAAATTCTACTAAACATTTATGATAATATTTGTCTTCTGCCAGAATTTTGTACAATAAGAAGCTTATAATGATTGTAGATGTATCTCAAATAATGGCCAATTTTTTTCCATGAAACAAAGTTACAATGATGATTAGATTTTAAAGAAACTGTGATTTGAATAAAATGCATAGATATATACTTTGTAGATAAAAATCACTCTTATATGAATCAGATTTCAGAGATTCATCGCTCATACAAAGAGGAAATACCTTAATTGGTCACAAAAAAGAAGTTTAAGTTAAAATAAAATATCCTGGCAATACTGCCAAAATACTGATGTTTCAGAATTAAGAAAATTAGGTGCTTGCTGAGACCTGGCTAGCCTTTGAAGACAGTTATCCATTTCCCTTTAGAGAACATGAAACCAAGCACAACATGTATTGACGATCAAGTAAAAATGGGACTAGAAATAGTAGAAGCTGACCATTCTCCAAAGGAGTGATAATGTGGAGGAAGGAAAAAATCCTCTCATACATCCTTCAAATAGTTCTGAATTCATTGTGGTTCAGTTTTTCTTCCAAATCTGCAAGTTTCAAGGAAAAATTTCCACTGTGGTTCCAAGTTGTAATTCTTTATACGATCATTAGAATGTGTAAAACTCAGCAGTATATTGATATAAAAATTATTAATAATCATTGTCTTGTGTTTGTAGAAAAAAAACCTATGAAGTCCCCTTACTCATTTTAAGCCCTTATGATAGTTTTAAAACTGCCTTAATCACAGAGGAAAATCATGATGTAATTTTTACATTTTACTTAGCCAGCTCTTTTCTTGGTAGTCAAGTAACTTCAATAAAATTCTTCGCCACATACCTACTCATCCTCACAATGAGAAATTCACACATGTATGAATTTAGAAAAAAATGTGCTTAAACTTCTATTTAAAAATTTTTAGTCCACAAATAAAAGTGTAAAAATGCAAAATTAAAACATTGATGAATTAAGTGTTTATTTAAAATATTTAAATTAAGCTTAGGTCTCTACAATTGTGATGTAACTGTGAATGTAAGTGGGTCTGGTGTTGATAAGCTATAATTCATGAGATTTGCTTTTCAAACCATTTAGTTTCCTAAAACCTCATAAGTATTTAAAAATGGAGCAGCAATTAAAGACTGACTGGAAATCAACCCAAATTCAGTTCAAAACTATTATATATATTTAGCCACAGTATATCTGAAAAATAACATTTGAAACTAATATATTGTCTTTTTCCTACACATTCTAGTATTAATTCGTATTGTGCATTAAGATGAATTTAGTGGATGACATACTTATTTGAGGGGGAGAATCAGTGGTAAAAAGACTGTGAAAATCTGATTTTCTAAAAATTATACATGATGACCTTTCTAGTGTACTAGTGATGTTGATAGCAATACTGTCTGTAATAAACTATTCCAAAAGAGTAAATTAACTAGGGTTGGCAGCTGCAGTCTAAATCTTCACAAATTTTACGGACATATGGGATCGGTCAACTTGATTGGTGGGTCCTCAATGTCCGTATCACTGATGCTGCTTCTGCTACTGCTGTTTTGGTAAAGAGGATGGTGAAGCTTGCTCTTGAGAGGCATTTAAAAAACTAGTCGGATAATATCTTATGTACATATGTGATTCATAACTTCTTTAATGTAGAATGACTTTAATTGGGATTACCTGAATTTCTCTCCCTCTCCCCTATGTGAAGAAATCTAAAAATAATTCTGGGGGCTTTCAATTGTCACTGCAACCTTTGGGTAACTACCACTGGGCAATGCTGATTAACATTCAAAGTAAATAACCACTGTACCACTCAATGTTACTGTCCTCTTACCAATAATGTGTTTCTCATTAAACAGTGAGTAGAAGGATCACCTACCGGAAGTGGTATTTTGGGACCTATAATAAAGAGCACGAGTGTATAAGTTATAAGAAAACCTACTTTAAAGCGCAATGTGAAGCTGAGTGGCTAATTAATATAACTAAAGATTTGGTAAATACCCTTTGAATCCATGTCATAGATATCTCTTGATATTGGGAGTTTATTTGCTGATTAAAGTATTTTACTTCTGATGAATAGATTTACAAATGGAAAATGTAATGCAATCTTGTGTAACGTTTATCTCATATACAACCTAGCAGAGTGTCTTCTCTAGTGATAGCCATTCAATATATATTCATATAGTAAATCAAATACCCCATTTGAATAGTATATATTTTCCCTTAGACTAATCCCACCCATCCCCCTTTTTGTTCCCAAAGGAAAAGTCCCAAAGGAATTAGGATGACAACTACTTCTTGTAGTGCATGGGGCAAGCTCAGAACCCTTTCTATAATTCATACAATACTGTGTTTTATCTTAAGCTAACAGAGTTGTGTATTTACAAAAATTTAGAAGCTAGTACTATTTGGTCTCTAACCTTCACAAATTTTCCTCATTACCAGCCAATCCGAGACTCAGGAAACCACTACTGGTGTAGGATCACAAAGGGGGAGGGAGGAAATTCGTATTTTTCTCCACAGTGTCAACTGTTAAATGATCAAAAGCGGGTCTTTAAACTTAAATATTATCATTTCTTCCGTGTACCCCTTCTCTGAGTCTTTAGCATGTGAATCACTAAAGACATTTCAGAAGACTTTATCCAGTACCACCAAAGAGGACTTCAAGGTCACACACACTATGTTTATTTCATGCTTAGCAACCATATATAATACATGGCATGCATGTACTCCATGTTCACTCAGTCGCTTCTAGTAATAGCTGAGTTTCATACATTCCTAGTAATTTAATACCTACAGAACAAATGGAAAAGACTCTGTTGTGGTTACACATTCACAAAATGTCTAAGTTCCCAGCACGCAGACAGCACCAATTATGTAACATTCTGCTCCAGGGTCCAAGCACCAGCATCTCCTCAGGTTCTGCCAAGTGCAGGCTGAAGCCTCTCTTGGTTCCTTTTGCCATGATCAGAGAATTAGAAAACCCTGCAGATATTCCATTTGAATAATGGTATGTACAATAAAAGCTAAACCAAATGTATTCCCACTTCCGTCCCCTTTCCCTTTGCTTTTAGTGGTGATGGTGGTGGTGGGGGGGTCACTCAGGGTGCCCTCCTCACCTTCTTCCCAGCTCTCAGGGCTCTTACAGTCAGTTCCCCTGAGCTTAGCGGTCCACTCTTGTTGCCCTGGCTACCCTCAACCCGCAAAGCGCGGCAGGAGACCAAAACAGCAAAGCGAAGGGGCACAAACGAGACGCTACCGAAGGAATGGCAACTTTCCAGCCCGATGCCGAAAATTCTGACACCAGGGTTTGGTTATCTCTCAATGCAACAAGTGACCCTCACAAGGGACTCTTGAAACCACGCGGCCCACAAACCCAGAGTCCATCTCTCCCGTAAGAATAACGTAACAGGCTGCACAACCCATGGCGCAGGTCGTTAACACCACTGCCTCCACGCGTGACCAAAACAGTGACTCTTATACGGTCCCTCCCTCCCTCTTCCAAAAAAAAAAATTGTCACCTGAGATTCCTCGCCACCTCCAGATTTCTGACGATCGATATCCTTCTCTATCCCATCCCATTTCTTTCCAAGTTTCCTGTGTTGGGGTGTATATGAGAGTGCGTGTGGAAAGAATTTTCCCTCGTTTCCACTTACTCTATATTAGTGTCCAACTAACTGTCGCCTAATGGGCAATCAATAATCGCTGCTGTTTTGCCAACTCTGTTCTGAAGCCCTAGAAAATCACACAGATTAAAGGGTTTCGGAAACTATCAAGCACTCAACAGGTCATAGCTGCGGATTACCCGTTCCGGGATTTTTGCTGCTTTCGGAAACCAAGGCAGCCCCATTTGCAAAGCGAGTCTTCGCGTTCAAGCACGGACTGTCCCGCCCGGCTCCTTCCGCAATCCACGACCCACGGGAAGAGCTAGGGGCAAGCGGACCCCGCGGGCAGCGCTGGGCGAACGGTCCCGGCGCCACCGCCCGCGCTCGCCGTTCCGCTCCGGGAGGGAGACGCGAGGCGTGGGAGAGAGCGGCGAGGGGGCGCGGGAGCCCGGGAGCCAGACGGCGCGGGCGGGCAAGGAGCAGACCCGAGAAGTGTCAGGAGCCGGGCGGGTGGAGACGAGACCAAAGCCGAACAGCCCGCGCTCGAAGTCGCCAGCTGCTGAGTGGCAAGAAGGAGCGAGGTAGGAAGGCGCGTTGTCCCAAGGATGCCCCCAGCGCCGCGCGGGGGGCGCGGGACACGGGCGCCAGGAGGGGAGCGCGGGGTCCCGGCGGGGCGCGAGGACGCGAGCGGAGCCCTTCCCCGGTTACCTGTGCTGCCTGCGCCCTGGCTGCCCCTGTCCGGAGGGAAGATGCCCGAGCACTTCTCCCATTCCACCTGGCCCGCGAAGCACAGCTCGGTAACGATGTGCAGAGCCTTCTGGCACAGGCTGCTCACTCCGTCCTCCTTGTGGAAACTCATCGTGTGGCCTTTTTGCCTTCAGTTAGCCGACGTGTCGCCCCTTCTCGTTACCTCGAGGCTGGCCCCTCTTGCGCCCTAAGCCATATCCCGCCCGCGGGGACTTTGGCCGGAGCGCGCGCCGCTGAGAGGCAGCCACTCTTAGGAGCCCCAAGTTGTCCCCATGGCGGGAGCGGAGGGCGCAGGGGGAGGCGGAGAGGCTGGGGCGGGGACTCGCGCGAGGCGGCGGCGGCGGCGGCG